ATCGCGTTTTCCGTGACAGCCATAAACGCAGTGAAAGCTGTTAAAAAATTTCAAGTTTCTGTGAAAATCATCGCATATTTAATTGGATCACGGCGACATCAATAACGCCCACGTCAACGGAGGTCATCAGCGTCACCGGCGCAATGCCACTGGCCGATTTGAATAAAGATTTGCGCCAGCAACAGCAGCTGGGCGTGGGCATTGCCGTCGGTAACAATGCTCACCTAGACCATGCTAATGGCACTTTGGGCCAACAGCAGCTGCGTCAGCGCATGCAGATCACATCGTCCGGATGCAGTAGTCTGGCCGTGACACCTATGGAGCATACGCCCACCGACGAAGAAAGTGGTGCCGTGACCACTGTGACGTCATCTCAGCGCAGACAGCAGGCTCAGCATCAGCAGCAACAACATTTGCAACAGGTGCAGCAAACGGCACTGCAAGCAGCATTGGAGCACCACCACATCAGTTCGGTTACGGCAGATACTACCGAGCTGATGGATTTAAGTGATTCTGAAGGCTACGCACCAGCCGCAGGCGATGCAGAGTTACGTGAAAATGAGTTTGAATTGCGCGAAGTAGTCAAGGAAGGTCATGAAAAAGCCGACCCTTCGCAATTCGAATTGCTGCGCGTGCTGGGCGAGGGTAGCTTCGGTAAGGTGTTTTTAGTACGCAAGGTTGTTGGCAAGGATGCAGGCACGCTATACGCCATGAAAGTATTGAAAAAAGCCACTTTGAAGGTCAAGGACCGTGTGCGTAGTACAAACGAGCGTAAAATACTAGCCGACGTGGGTCATGCGTTCATCGTAAAATTGCACTACGCCTTCCAAACGCCCGGCAAATTGTATTTGATTTTGGATTTCCTTCGCGGTGGTGATCTTTTCACACGGCTATCCAAAGAAGTAATGTTCACGGAAGAGGATGTTAAGTTTTACCTAGCTGAGTTGGCACTGGCTTTAAATCATTTGCATTCACTTGGTATTATCTATCGCGACTTAAAGCCGGAGAACATTTTACTAGACGAACACGGCCATATCGCGCTGACGGATTTTGGACTATCGAAACAACCACTAGACGGATCGAAGACTTACAGTTTTTGCGGCACAGTAGAGTATATGGCACCGGAAATAGTGAACCGAAAAGGACACGACTTTGCAGCTGATTGGTGGTCTTTTGGTGTACTGATGTATGAAATGTTAACAGGTAACTTGCCATTCCACGGGCAAACACGCCAAGAGACCATGAATCAAATACTGCGTTCCAAATTGGGCATGCCCGAGAACCTCTCGCCTGAGGCACAATCATTGCTTCGCGCACTTTTCAAGCGCAATCCCCAAAATCGACTAGGTGCAGGTCCCAACGGAATACTGGATATCAAAGCGCATTGTTTCTTTGCCACAATCGACTGGTTGGGGCTGGAACGGAAAGAAGTGCGCCCACCATTTATACCGGCGGTGTCGCGTGACGACGCTTTCTACTTTGATGTGGAGTATACATCAAAGTCACCACGCGACTCTCCCGGTGGTCCTATTTCCGCATCGGCTCATGAAATCTTTCGGGGCTTTAGTTTTGTCGCGCCTGTGCTACTAGATCAAACATCCAACAGTTCGAGTCCTTTATCCCCATTCGTGCCCAACGCACATCCCCAGCTGCGCAGTTTGCCAGGAGTGCTGCCTGGAAACTTTCATTCCGAATATAATCTGCTTCAGGAGCTAGGGCGTGGCACATTTTCTGTTTGCCGTTTGTGTGAACATCGCTCAACGAAGAAGCATTTCGCCGTGAAGATTATAGAAAAAGCGGCAGCGGCGGCGTCATCCAGCTCGGCGGACTGTTGGGAAGAGGTCGAGATAATGTTGCGCTATGGCAATCACCCCAACATTGTCACATTGTTTTCTGTGTATGAGGACGCAACTTCAGCGTATCTGGTTATGGAGTTGTTGAAGGGCGGCGAGCTGCTCGATCGCATACTAGCGGTGGGACAAATGTGCGAGAGTGAGGCGAGTGCGGTGCTGAGGACGGTCGTTTCGGCAGTGGCGTACTTGCATGAGCATGGCGTAGTGCATCGTGACCTTAAACCATCTAACATGATATACGCGAGCATGCGACAGACGCCGGAGACGCTAAAGCTATGTGACCTGGGTAAGTAACAAATCAAATTTATGAAAGCAATCAAACTAACTAATTAACTAACGGCAAAATAATCGTGTTTAGGATTCGCAAAACAGCTACGCGCAGACAACGGGCTATTGATGACACCTTGCTACACGGCCAATTTTGTGGCGCCGGAGGTGCTGAAACGCCAAGGCTACGACCTGGCCTGTGACATATGGTCACTGGGCGTGCTGCTTTATATTATGCTCTCTGGCCGTACACCATTCGCTTCAACACCAAACGACTCGCCGGAGGTGATACTAAAACGAATCGGTTCCGGTCATGTGGATTTCACATCGAGTCGCTGGGCAATGACCGGCAGCGAAGTGAAAGATTTACTGCGTCAGATGCTGCACATCGTACCAGAAAATAGACCGACGGCAGCGCAAATACTGCAGCACCCTTGGCTGCGTGAACAGTCGGCGGGTTCAGTGCGCCTAACGGAATACGCGATAATACCCGCACAAATGTCAGGCGCTGGTGTCAATGCCATAGGCGAAGGCGGCGCGGGGTTCGCGCAACCCAACGCCAACTCGGTACGCGAAGCGACGGCGGCGTTGCGCGGTGCCGTCGATGCGACTTTCCGCGCGATTGCAATACCACAAGCGGCAAATGTGGGCCCAGTAGAAATGTCGAAACTGGCGAAACGACGTGCCAAAGACAAAGCCAACTTGCACTCGTAAATTTTTTCGGTGAAATTTAATTGAATCATTGGCGATTATATGAAAGCCGTTTTGTATGCTCGCCGAAAATTTGTTCAAAGGCTGTTGATGTGTTTGTGTGTGGTAGAGCAAATAGCCACCATTATTCCACGGCATAAATTGTTTGCGTATTTATTAATAAAAACACGTACATATACGTACCTAGAAATAGGCACGCGGGAAGAAGGAGATACAAATTATATTTTTAGGCATTTTGTCGGCTTCCTATGCGCGACTTCCATAGGGTACACACAACGCGCATCCCTTAGGGGGGGAGTAGCAAGCCTTGTGCGTGTCTGTAGCTGGGAATAGTGATTTTGTGAACAAGTTAAGTATTTATTTTTTTGACTAATAATTGTTGTTAGTAATACAAAAACGATTTTATGAAATTATTGACAAAGAAAAAAAAACCAAACAAAAGAAAAAAAAAACAAAAGATAAGTTTTTGCAAAACTCTACTTACTCGTAAATAATGGCCAAAGTAAAAAATGCTTAACGGAGAAGGATAACAATGAAATATATTTCATAACAACAAAAAACGTGTTGTACACTGATACTCGCAGCGTAGGCTGTTTTAAGATTCTAAAGAAAATATTTCTAAAACGATTTCAACCACGTTTAGTGTTCGTAGCAGACAGTCTAAAATTAAAGTTACTACAATTCAGTAAAAGTAAATACCTTCCCTAAATCCAATTCCACAGGACTTTCAAACAAATTTGCCAAATTTAACGTAACTCCAATAGCACTTGTATTTGAAATCAAAAATTATGCACGAATATATATACAAGCGAATTTTAATGAATAATTAACACACACAAAAAAAACAATAACCAATGTATTAAAGTTAGTGAATACATACCGCAATGTAAAGTAAAAAATTCCATGCTTAATTCTAATGAAATACAAGATTGTGATTTGCCTTTGAAAATAAGTATACAAACTTTGCGAACATGGATATGTATATAAATGTATGTATTTAAGTACACACTTATGTACATATAAACGGCACTAAAAAAAAATGCGGAAAAATTGTTTGGAAAAAGTTAATTATGTACATACATATGATTTACATATTTATATGAAAGAGTGTAAATAGGAGTTAGCGATGATTGATAAACAAAGACCATGCAGTGAGTGTAGGAATACTTTTCAGCAAATTTAAAATGCTGGTAAGCAAAAACTTTACGCATTCACGGCTTCTACGTTGTCAAAATCATCTTTGCAACAGGCAAGAAAGCCTCACTGATCGTTAAAATATTTATACCAGTGCGTAAATTAAAATTTCGACGTTTTGTAACTCGGCTGTAGATTCGTATATACATACGTATATGTTGTATTTACATTACCGCTTCTAATTACATAATCTAAACGCATACATGCATAAGTAAATTTTAAGTAAATGGTAAAATAAATAGTAAATAAGCGATTAATTTAAAGCTCTAAAAATAGTTGATAAATAAAGAACACTAACAATATTTATAAAATGTATGTTATACTAAACTATATAAGGATATGTAATTTATTCACCAGATAATACAAACCACAAGTACATACATACATACATATGTATAGCCAAGCATACATGCATACAAGCTTATGCACATACAATTTATGGTATATATACAGACACGTACACATATTACTATTTAACAAATGTATCTACATATATTTAGAGAGAATTTATATAAATACCTAACCCTTATACATACCTACAAACATATTTATCTATGAAAAATGATTACGTAAAAGCTGCATAAGTCATATACTGCAATTAATATATTTGTCGAACATCGTAAAGTTGCGTTATGTGGCCGTCTTTTAGGCTTTACACTTTGCATGTTATATAAAATTATATATGTATATAGAGAAGAAAAAGAAATTGTTGCAGTACATGGGAAAACATACATACATATTTTTGAAAAGAAAGTGCAAATGTTGGTTACGAAACATACATATATTGTATGTACATATGTACATCTATCTGATGTTGAAAGTGCATACATACGTATTTGTGTGCATAGTTTTTGAACTAAATCCTTTGAATTTTAAAATACAGAATGTGCAGTTAAAATTTATGAGAACCGCAAAGTCAGTGCCATGCTAAAGCATGAATCACCCACAACCACGGTTGATGAGGGCAAAGATGCATACATAAAGACATACAATATCACAACAAAAAAAAACTGGTCTATAGTTATTCTCACGACATTTAGAGCCATTGCTTAACAAGCTTACAAACATTCATGACTAATTTTAGCCATAGAAATTGGCCTCAGTTAAAAAGCATTTTATTCGAAAACGCTTTTTCATCTTCCATATTTTATTCTACACTACACTACACTACTATCTGTCACCAAATTAATACCTTTCAAACAAAATAAATTACTTTCCGCGCAGATTAAAAAAAAATAAAACAAAATTGCCTTCTGAAAAAAAAACAAGAAGATTTAAAAGCTTTTCCTGGCACTGATAAGACAATTGCTTTGTCTGCTACACTGGCTGTCAACTATAACAAACGCAACTTATGCGCACAAATAATACAAAAACAAATAATAATAATAATAATAAAACAAACTAGACGCTAATTATCACTCTTCTGCTCGCTGCTGACTAGCATTCGTCATATTGGTGCCAAGTTAAGCAACAAACAAACATAAATACATAATTATGTACATATATGTATGTATACCACAAAAATGTTAAGAGTGAAAATTTGTCAAAGAAATTGCTTCCATGTAAAAACGAACAAAAGCGAATTTCCATTGTGGCAAATGTGGTTTTTGCGTTTTTTTTATCTAACAGTGAAGTTAGAAAAATTTTGAAAAAAAAAACTTATTCAAACCCACTAAGTTGTCAATTTACATTGCAATTATTGTGCAAATATTTTTATTCACCTAACTACTCGTATATTTTATGACATTTTACAACTATACTAATTTTAATTGTTAGCATTTTACCTAAAAATGTATTATATTCAAAATTTTAATATTCTGTGTGTGTCATTTTAAATAATGCATTTTACTCTACATACTTATATACATATATTGTATTTATAAGCATTTATGTCATTTAACATACATATATGTATGTATGTGCATACATGCATTCATATGTATTTATGTCAATTGCCATTGTATACTAATTTAGTTAATTTGTTCCGAACTGTGAAATGTATTGTATTGATTAACACATTCAGCGATAGAAAAAAAGTTATTCGTTTGCATTTAGTTTTTAAAATATTAGTAAATTCTACAAACAAACAGCTAGCTGCCTCCTGCAAGCGCAAGAGTTTTTGCGAAATTTTCTGGCATTGCCGCGCATTTCATTTTACATACATACATACATATGTATTAAAAAATATAAAATTGAAAAAAAAAGAAAATGCTGTGCATCAGTGAATGAAAAGTTGTGTATTTTCCCGCATAAAAAATATTCCAGATTTATTATAATTCAATATCTTAAAACAGAAAAAGATAAGTAATTAAAAATATTTAAAATTTATAAATGCATTGCATGTTTTAATTTAATTTAACAGTAATTAATTATCAATTGAATAAAAATGATATCTTGAAAAATTATAAACGAGTTTTTCCTTTAATTGTGTAGGCGCAATGTGCAAATAATCTATTAGTCTTGTTGAGCCTATGCTGCTGAGTAGATTATTTAAAATATTGTTTTTTTTATATATATATTTTCTTTCTTACACAGATAACGAACAAATTGCTGTGCTATCAACTCATAAAGATAAGACATTATCACCACCTCTTTTGACACACACTGACGCTGATTTCCTCTTAGCACTAGTAAAAAAAAAAAGCTCCAGATAATGGCTTGAAGGCAGGAAATGTTTATTACCTATGACAATCGGTTACATCCCAACGCTAAATCTCGCGTGTAATTAGTAACCGGTTTCCAGAAACCACTTAAGTAAAAGCTTCATTGGTTACAATAATCAATCGAATTTCCAAAAAATTCATAAAAATTTCCAAAAAGTTCATAAAAATTGCCTACTTTTTGTCTAGAATGTTTATTTATTTTATCTTTTAATTCTCGAGTATGCAGTTTTATATTATAGCCCATTTATTTCAGTACAATGAAGTGCAAGTTTCAAGCCGCTAAAAATTACCGTCGATTTTTAGAACTTTTTGCCAAGGGTGCTGAGCATTTTCTTCCATATAACGCATCAACAAAATTAATTTTTATATGGAAGAAAATGCTTACCACCCTCGGCAAAAAAAAACCTTATCTGAGAGGTTGATATTAAAATCCACATTAGCGCACCAGCTAGTCCTTCGAACATTCCTCACATACAATTATTTTGTCATCTGCAATCCTAGCAGCCATTTTCTGAGAGGATTTGTAGGAGTTCATCCACCGCTAGGCTCCGCAGGAGAGGTGGCAGGACACCTCTTTGTGGGCATCCCTTTGTTGTACCGCCACGCAGTTTCCATCTGTTGCATCTGGCGATAGTTGGCTGTACATTTCGTTTCTTTAATGCCCATCTAATGCCCGCACGGTTTTTCTTCTGTCAAAAGCATTTTGAATCTCTGTGGAGAACAGGCAACTGATCTCGGCAAAAAAGAAGTTAGATTGTATCATATATTCAAAGCAATATGCTTTGCTTAAAGTACATACTTGTCTGATTGTACCCCTAGCAAAAGATTGTCATTCTACTACAAATGCTTCCATTCTATACATTAGTAAAAATTTCTGGTGTTACTCGTGATTACTTTCGAAGGATAAATTAGTATCCAAAATTGTTTGCAAAAAAAAATTTTATTTTATTTTCGAAAATAATGAATTATTACATTTTCATTTGAACAATAATAAAGTTTCTATTCATTTGTTTTTATCCTGCAAATTTTTATATTTTTTGCGCACATTCAAGTGTTAATTTCACTTTTATTAATTACTTTTATATCCGCTCAGTACAAATTTTCGCATTCGTTTGGAAATGGTATGTGGCTAGGGTCAGTGTTTGGTCACCTTGATTGAATGCGGCCATAAGTTACAAAGTATACGTAAATAAAATAAATTAGTATATGCTTATATCGAATATTTATAATTTATTTATTTCTGGTAATGATTTAAGAAATTTCCCTCGAAAAAACTCACTTCCGCAACACAGCGCAACTTTCACTACACGTCAACATTTTTCAAGTTCCCTCTTTTTCTATTTCCTTACATTGAATATTATTTAAGTGCGTTTGTTTTTACTAGTTAAATTTATTTGCTACGTACTAATTATTGAATTTAGTATAAAATTTGTACGCTAAACAAGCGTACGCTTTTGATTCTTCAACGTTTATCTTTGCGATTACGATTGCGATGATGTTGTTGTTGGTGCTGTGGTTGCTTCTGTTTGTTTGCATTCTCCGGCACGGTCGCAGACGTTCCTGTAATAGTAGAGAGAGGGCGTGAAACAGATTGAGAGATTGATTATGTCATCGCAGAGTGTCGTTCGTCTTTTTCTTGTTAGAAACTATCTTTAGCAACTTGCAATGAAATATTTGAGCCTGTTCAGCGCATCAGCGAGCGCAACTTGCACCTTAAACAATGCCTTTAAAAGACAGAGTTGGTTGAGTTTACTCCATTGAGAAAATATTTCACCCACCTGTTTTATCTTTTCTATCATATTCTGCACTTTCAGTAGCATCCAGGGCAGATATAGCGGCTGCCAGCTCGTTTTCAATTAACTCCTTTACATCTTTTTCGACTGCTATCTCCTCATTATTACTTGTTGTTGTTGGTGTAGTAATGTTCGCCAACTGCGTTCGTTCGTCACTTACGTTCTCTTCCATCTCGACGTCAGCTTGTGCCTTTTGTCGATTTACTTCTACAACTACTTCCTCCTCATCCTCTTCGTGTTCTGCTTCAACTTGTGCCTTTGTGACGCCATTAACCAATAACGTTTCATCCTCGCATGCCTCGGTAGCACTAGGTGTCACTTTGGCCCGCCGCTCCTGTAGCACTTGGGCACACTTCTTCTCCCATTCAACGTGTTCTTTATAATACTGATACACTGGTATCACAATCACTGAGATATCATCCACTGTGGCAGCAGCTTTGCTATCGGCCAGGCGCCAATGACCGGAATCGTTTATTTTACCACGCGCTCGCGCCACCAACTCTTGTGCCACCATTGTGTAACGGTGCTTTTCTGTGGGGTATTTGGCGAGTGTTTGGAAAACGGTGCGCGCTACAGCTTCATTCTCAGATACGTCCCATAGCCCGTCGGTGGCCATAACCAGAATGCCATAATCACCATCCTCATTATTCTCATCTAAATCCAAAAACAATACAGCTTTGTAGAATTTTTGTTTTCGTGTACAAACATATGTATGTATGTATCTTCTTGGCACTTACCTGGAATGCTGACGATTTTGGAAAGATCGCGTATAACCACTTCAGGATGTGGCGTGAGAAATGGTTTTATTTGTGTGCCTGTGTTGATGGCCAAGAGATCATGATCTCCAAAGCCGCGTGTAACGCCCAATGTTCCCAGCAATCGACTACGCTTTCCTTCTCCCGTCACCTTTAAATTAAGACAAAACAGTTAGCAAAGAACATAACATTCGATGAACCGTAAATACTCACCACCGGCATGCGTAAATCTTCGCGCGTCAACGTTTTATAAGTCCAACCTTTCATTGTACCCTGGCGGCAAAGGATGCGTTGGCCCAAATCCTTCATATGAGGTCGCTTGGCATATTCCATTGCGGCGTACTGTTTCTCCATCAAATGTGGTTTCAAGCGTGCTACAGTAAGTAGTCGATGTCGTTCTGTCTCCGGAGTGTGGTCAAATGAGAAAGGCACAGCAAATATTTCCTGTGTATCTGCATTATTCTCGGCGCTATTCACTGCTACTATGCTTGCAGCTGATTTGTGTTTTTCATCAAGCGCGGATGCACTTTTACGTTGACACAAAACTGCACGACTGTCACCAGCGTTTGCCACAAACAGCTTACCATTGATGAACAATGCAACGCAAGCGGTACAGCCGCCAGCATCTCGATATCTATCGCGATCCTGTGCAATCAACGCATCCATATTGAAGAAAGCGCTCTCCAGTGCGCCAATGATGAGCTCATCCTTGTAAACGCGTCTATGAAATTGACTGGGGTGCGGAAAGCCACTATCTGGCTTTGCATTTGCCATTTCCTCTTCGCGGGGAAGCAGTAGTTCAATGCAATCCACCAATTTTTCATGCAAAATGTGGTGGAATTGATGCGAAGCAGCTAGAGCGGCACCATAACCAGCGTGCCCATCAAAAATGCCATAGTATGTGTATGGTAAATCGGGATGGCAATGTGTTGGGTCGGAAAGTACTTGCCTATTGATATAAAAAATTAAAACTTTGTTTATTTTACAATGGAAAATGGACCAGCTTATCGGTCGATTTACTTTGGCGTTAAACTATGTATGTGTGAAAATGCAAATGTTAGCGGAATTAGGTACACAAAACAAACTGATAAGCATTAACTCAGCAATGTTTTCAGAACTATGACAATTGTGATAAGCTGATTTTGTTCTATTTTCAAGCATATACGATATGTTTGGTATTTGTACTTGCCTGGAAAAGGCAGCCTGGTCTTCATTCCACTCCGATTTGCCGGAATTGACACACTCAGCATAGCCAGTGCCCCATGGTAGCAAATTGATGTCGCGTGGCACAATGATAGGGCGTACATTGTGGTCGGCCGAGGCGCGCAACTCATCGATTGTCAAAAGCTGTAGAAATGGTGGACGAGCATATGCGAATTTGTCGGGCATTTTCTGTTGATGCACCATTCGCAGCTGGTAGTTTGACGAAGGACCTCCACGATGTAGTTGGTGACTGGGAATTGATGGCAGCGGCGGTATATCCGGGGCGATAACCGAAATAAAGCGATTCTTGATATTGGTTATGCTGAACATGTTTGACATCGCTGCGTAGGTGGCAATTGTGGGTGCAATAAATTAATTGATGGAATGTAAGCTGAGGGGAAACGTTCAATACGCCAACAGCTGCTCTGTAAATGAAGTGCACAAACACAGAGTTTGTCACACTTGAACACGTCAACTTAAGTATTTAAATTATTTGTTGAAGATCACGGGGCGATAAAATCGCGCTACTATTTTCTTTGTTGGCTGTTTTCTCGATTGCAATTTGGTAACTGCGATGTTTAAAACTTTCGTATCCCCTGAACCGCACTCCGCACCGTAAACAAACTAGTAGCTCAATGCGTGTTTTTGTTGTCGACACCTTTACATTGCTTGTGGCTTTGCCACTGTTTTGTCCACTTGTCGCTGCTCACCAGCCAACCACTGCAACGACTGCTGCTGCTGCCACCACGTCCGTTTGTTGTTTCGCTAGCGCTTGCAGAAATCAATAATCCGCTACAGATTTCTAAATCACTCTCGTGTCGGGGTACACTGCATTCAAAGAACTTTTTGTACTTTTCACCAAAGTGAATCATAAAAACCAATTTTCTTAGTAAAATATTTTGTTTTTCTGGTTTGCTATAATAAACGATTTTCTTTCACTGCTGAAAATTCGTGACTTCTTTGTTTTTGCCTTGCCAACGTGAGACGTCAAATTGACATTAAAATGCCTTTACACTGCACTACCAGCGGTAGTGGTCTGCTGTATCGACAATTTTGTTGTGATTCGGCTATTTTGCTGTCATCCTAATGGGTTTGAGACCAAACTACTGTGCTTTTTGCGGTTAAATTATTCACACAGAAATTTCGTAATGCACCTAAAATTTCTAATTATTTCTCTTATTTTTTGGTTTTTTAATTATTAATAATTATTTTTTTTTTAGTTATCAAGTATATGAATTTATTTTGACTTTTACTTTTATTATTATTTTTTTTGACGCAGCAGAAAGCAAGTAATAGATTTTTTAACTATCACAGTGACTACCCCGCAAAGCATGCAACTAATCCGGAATGAGGTCGGGATTGGGCGGATATATCTTTAATTTTGTACATCGGAAGTAGGACAATCACGCGACAGCGACTTAACGGATTTGCATGAAATTTTTCACATACATAGATAGACTGAATTGAAAATTAGTATAAATTTTTAAAAGAAGTGCTCCCTGTTGGAAAGTTAAGTTAAATTAGTTTGTTAAATCAAATATTACAATACAGAGGTCGATTGAAAAGAGGTCTATGAGAGATTAGTTTCGAAAATATTTTTGAAGAGATTTGCCAGCTGCTTAAAAATGAAACGAAAGGCTGGCTTTAGTATAATGCGGCATCCGCAGCATACGATTGCGAATGATTCACTGGCGCCGAGCCGTTGATGAACTTTTGGCAAATAAACCTGCAGAAATAATTTCGATATTAGCAAGTCAATATTCTTATTACGTCTCATCATTCCTAGTCGTTTAACGAAAAAAGGAGAATGCCGCATTATACTAAAGCCAGCTTCGCGACGCTACTATTCCATACGAACACAGATATATAAATAATAAAATAAATAGTTCCTGAAAGTCTGAAATAAATAATTTGTTTAACTGTATAAACATAAAAAATATGCCCTCTTTTCAGAAATGAAGCTGCTGAGCTACGCGATGTCATCATCAAAGCAAAAGCTACTGGAATTGCATTGGATCAGGAAAAAGTCGATCAATACATCAAGGCAATGTCCTTAACCGGTAGTGAGAAGGTACATTTTTTTTTTTTAATTTCTCAAGTTCTTGTAAATGTAAATAATGAGTACTAAAATTTTAGGAAAATGCTGAAAAGTTGGCTGCCATGTGGATGTACACAGCGCAGATGGGCAGCTCACGCAGTTTGCCGCAAACCGGTAGCGGTCGCCCGATTATGTTGATACCAGCTGGAAGTACAAATGTAAGTTCCAAATAAGGGAACAGGAATGAAGAGTACTTAAAGGTTAAAAACTAAATTGGTTTACTTAGCTCGTAACAATATTCGAAAATTTTCCAAATCTGCGCGATTTTCTTTACTTTTTCACTTTACACATTTATCCTTTTCAGATGTTGGCTACCCCTCCTCCACCCGTACCGTCAGTACCTGCGACAATGGTTGTTCCCGGTGTACCATATCGTCCCGGCATGACCTACACTCTGCCCTACGTACGTCCTGGTTCTGTGATTTATGCGCCAGCCGGCAGCGCACCCAGTGGCACATATCGCACACACAAGAGCAGCAAATCTGTTGGACCACCGCATAACCGTCGCCGCCGTCCGGGACCACCGCCGCCACGCGCTGGAAAAATGAGCGCCAATCGTCGACAACGTCGCAAATCCGAGGCAGATATAATTGACAACGAGGCCTTTCAGTACACGGGGCTCGATCGCGATATAGCAGATAATTTTTTGGCGCGTCAGGAGCAAACCAACAGCCAGCCGGGAAGCCATGTTGACTACTCTTCTTCGTCGACGACGGCTAGTGAGACATATGGTAAGCAGCGGTCGCGCTCATCGTCCAAAACGAAAATCGTTTGCCGCGATGTGGTGATGTAGCGCAGAGCTCTTGAGTTGAGTTGAGTCGAGTCATTTGATTGTGGATTGAGTATTTTTGCGTGCGTTAATCCAAGGGACAGTTAAGCGAAATAATAAACAGACATGCATACCTAACTGTATAATATTGTAATACTCGTATGCCTTATTTGATGTTTGCTATTGTAAATAACTCTATTATACATAAACTTATTATCTAGTTTATTCGATGCTGCAACTTTGCTTTCTACAAATACAACTAATCGTAGGATTGAGATATTGATATAAAAATATATACGTTAGACAACCTACATGTGTTTGTGTCTCTAAATGGTGGTCTGAGAGCGGATCGCTAATAAACTGCTTTCATTTGCTCTAAAAGTCTTCATCGCTGTGATGATCCGGCTTGCTTGCTGTCTTCGGACGCAACGGCAGTTCTCCTGTGATTTTCGAAATACTTATGTCATCCATCGAGTTTAGATCAACTAAAATTAAAAGTGATTATAATAGGAAGCTTTTTTTCTCAACGCCTCACTTACAATCATCGTCGACAAAGTTGGCCAACTCGGAGTCTAAATTGCTCAGTAGACCGCTTGGTGCTTGCCCGCGCCCCATGCCCAGCAGTCCGCCCATGCCCAGGTCACTGTCCGAACTACCAAATGAGCTGTCATCCTCGTCACCCTCCCCGCCCAGTGTAGCGCGCGTACTCAGCATGCTGCCCATAGCGGCGACACCGCGAGCATCGACGTCGCTGCCATCTTCCGCTGCAAGGCGCTCGGCTTGAGGCCGACGATTACGTCCCGTTATTGGGCGTCCATTGCGCGAAGTTGCCGTACCTGGCCGCTTACTCATCTTACGCGCCGCCTCATCCATCAATCCACTATATGATCTCCGGTTGCGCAAAATCATATCCTCATCTCGAATATCTGGAATCTCTGCATCCAGTCCGAAATTGCCACGTCGCAGCACCCCACTGCCATCCAGCTCTGCTTCAGCCTCATTGTCGTCATCGTCTTCTATGAGACCCTCCGGTATGAAGGGCATTGATGATTCCTGCGGCTTCTGCAGCATTGGCGAGGCGACAGGTGTACTGCGTTTGGTGCGCGCTTCGTATTGGGCACGCAACGCATCGCGCACATGTAGACGTTGAAAATATTGTTGAAACAATTCCTGCAGCTCCTTCTCGCATTCCTCGAACTCTTGCATGTGCGCCGGTCGTATCTTCTGCAATGCCTCCAAACGTTGCTTGGTGCGCTCCAATTCGGCGCGCTTGCGTTGCAACTTTGAGCTAAGCGCGTTCATTTCTACCCGTGCATTCTCCAATTGTCCGCGACTCGATTGCAATTTCAATTGTGCGGCTGTTACAGCATTCTTAAGCGTACGCTCTGCTGACGCCAACTCCATTGGACGATTGGCTTGCGCCAGGCGTGTCTCTCGGTGTAGCATTTCTTTAGCGAGCAGCTCGTGCAGTGCAGCGCCGCGCTGAGTTAGATCTGTGGAGAGCTCGCGAGCACGACGCAAATCGTCCATTTTATCGCCTATGTCCACCTGGTTGAGACTGCGGTAGTTCTCCTCTTCATCCTTGTCCTCGGACGATTGTTGCGGTGCGATCAGCATGCGCGTGATCTTCTGCAACTCGGTGGCGGTGACGGCAGAAGACGCATATAACTTACGTGGATTGAGCTTTATGGCCGATTTAGTAACAAAGAACTCGGTGGCGGAGCGTATAAGTAATACGCGTTCATTCTCCGATTCTACGCTGCCGGACAGTACGGCACCTGGCTCCAGTAGACCGGCCAACCATTGGAGAACTTCGGCGACGACATGAAATGAGGCAAGACTGCCGAAATTATTGGCCAACGCCTGCAGAGGAAACACATGAGGATAGCCGAGTAGCTTGAGGTGCTCAGCGAGGTCTGCGAAATTTTAAGTGCTAGGAAATTACTATGACTTCAATAATTTTCACTTACCTCGCACATCCTTGAAGGACATATTTATGATATTGAATTATATATATTTTTTGCTAGTCTTATATCAGCTAAAATATTAAATTTTTCCTGTGCAACTTTAGAAACTTTTAACTCTGCAGCTAACAATGGTTTGTTGTGGCTTGAAAGTATTTGTTTACAACACACCCGTCGCGTCTGTTACTAGGATACGGTTGCTTAGAGCTTAGCGTTGTGTAGCGAGTTCAATGCAACAGGTCGGGGAAAGCAAACATTTCGCATTAACCCTCAAGTATGAGCCAAAGGAATCTATTATCGTCATCAAAGACGAATTTGGAGTTCATAAAATAAGTATACGTTATACATAAAATATTAAATTCAGATTGGAGAGGACTGGTAATTGGTAATTTTTGATTTTTTGGTTTTTTTCACTCAGCTTTTCCTGCATTATTAAACAAAAATAAACTGTTCTAATGAATAATTTTAATAAAAACTAATACACAGTCAAAGGCAACGACAAAGACATTTATATAAACTAGTGAACCCGCATGGCGCACTATGGGCTAAATCACATTTTTTTTGTTTAAAATCTTATATAACGAGAGGGAATAGAGATAGCGCAAGAATATTTTTTTTGTCAATAATGCTCCAGTTATGCCAATTTAAGGAAAACTAAAGTCAACGTCAACACACTTTATTTTATTGGGGGAAGTGAGCGGCGAAGTTGACCATGTTCAAAAAATTTATGACCTTTCGCTTTTCTTTTTGCTGTATCTCAGAGGAAAACCTCGGCCAAACACTAACATTTGTGTAAGCGCCAATCTATTATTATTATTATTAAATTTAATGTAGATTAAGGAAAAGCTTATTAGGATACCATTAAGCCATAAATTAGGGGTGAGTGGCTAAAACCCAGAAAATTCACTGAAAAACATTGTAAAGTATTTTCGTAGGATGCGAAAACAATTTTAAAAATTATTTTTGCTAGTCGTTTTTTATTGGGATTGAAATAAGGGTTGAGTGGCTACACATTTTAAGGCTTCGGTTTTTGCATAAGAGGCATTCCAAGCTATATTTCTAGCACGTCGAGATTTTTTTATTTAGAAAAGAAAAACCAAAGATGCATTTTAATTTAGCATGACATTAAAAATTACAAATTTTAAAGTTCGGGCTAAAAAGATGGAGTTTTTCGCTTTACTTAAACCAAAATTATTAAGTTATCTCTGCCGGTTCAACAGATATGACCAACCAAAGAAATTATGATGTTAATATTAAATTCGCGATTTTTCGCAAAGTAAGAGGATCGTTGCAAAATAAAGTGTAGGGAAACAAATATTACTTCAATCTCTACCAAAGTACGTAACAATCTTGGTTATCCGAAAGAAAAGGTTTTTAAAAGTAGCCCACTTGACGTATTTTGATCAAATTTTAATTGAAAATTTTTATTTCTTTAATTTTTTTTTATCAGTCAGTGCTTTACGAAACAATTAATATCTCAGGCCCTATATCGAGACACCCTTTAAAAATTTGTCAGTTAAGTCTTTGATATACACTCTTTTACATATATTTTTTACAGATTCTTAAAAACATGCAAACATGTTTTTTTAGCAGCTTTCATTAACAAAAGTATGGAAAAGTGGACTTAAAAAATGCAAATCTCCATTTTTTTGCAATATTTGCGAAGCTCAGCAAACAAACGAAAGCTGATAGAACCATCCACTTAAGAGTTAAATTAAAGCTAGAACTCTGGACTACTATCTCTGAAAATACCAAGCCTATTATATTATTATATATATTCTATATGTTATATTTATACACATTAAACAAACAAAAGAAAAATAGACAAAAATTGGCAAAATATCGCAGTCCTATTATTTTGTCCAACCCCTAGTAGTGCGTTTAAATTTTTCAGCAGCATGCTGCTGATACAAATGTTGCACAACATTCCACCTAAATATTGTAGATAGAAGGCCTCTGCTCCATCACTCTTCTCATATGCTGTTCAATCTCCCCCCACCACCACCCCGTTTTGTCTTTAAATTCCCCCTCAATGTTGTGTTATGTTCGCTTGCAAACATGTTGAAGTCGCCAGCAGACAATGGGAGCGCAGCAAGTGAATGCGACATGGTTGAATGGAGCTCATTGCCCCCACGCTTGGTTTCGAATTCGAAGTTGCAGACAGTGTACGCGTGTGTCACACCGATATGCACTAACACTTGAAAAGCCACCGCCGCCGCCGCCGCCGCCGCCGTCGTCGTCGCCGCTGCCTGTGGCAAAAGCTACCAACACTTTCTTGTTTTGGTTATTTTAGCTTTGTTGTAATAGCAGCGAGGCGAATAAAAAAAATTCTGTAGTAAATTGTGTGGTGCGTGTGATGATTGTAAATACATACATATGTACATATATACATACATAAATATGTAAGTATTTTGATGTATGAATGTGGTTATGTTTTTACTTAAGAAGTGAGAAATGGGTAAGCAACAAACTTTTCATTGTCACTGTGCCATAAATATTCATAGGGTATACATTTGAAAATTTAAAAAAATGGGTACTTATGGGATTTTAGCGAACCTTTCGCAACTTTTTCTTGAAATAAATAGCATTGGCCCTTATTGGTATTGGTAAACCCTTATGTGCACTTATACAGTTAGCTTCAAAAATATACATACCCTGACGTTTTGAGGATTTTATTTATAGAGTCGACATATTTCTAAAAATCTTATTTAGGAACATACATATTTGCACCAACAAAGTGGTTTGTTTTTAATTTTTGTTTTTTACCAAACAACAATTTTAATGAATCAAGATTTTTTTTTGTGGAAAAGCAACAATAATTTTACAAATGGTAGAAGTCCGGAACCGATCACCACATCTGCTCGGCAGACTTCTTCATTCTTAAAATTGCAGTTGCTTTTAAACACAATTTTTTTTTTTATTAATAGATAGCAGCAAGAACAAAATGTTGACTACTAAATAACGAAGTAGCACTTTTTAAGTAAAACAAACGCGATATACTTATTTGGGAAATACATACGCTCACTATTTAAATACATATAAAAATATGTCGAATTGGCAACGCTTCTCGCAATTGTAGTGGCAACAATAGTCGCATTGTTCTTTTTGACGCAGCCACGCTTGCAAGTTTTTTATTTTATTAACTCATCTGCGAGTTTTTGCTGAATGCAAAGCATTTTATCCGCTTTTCCTTATATTTACTTTTTATCTCCAATTTTTTTTTTATCATTTTTTGCACTTGCTACGAGTATTACGCCACAAATAGAGAGTGAGTGAGAGCAGTCATAAAAACTGTGGTTGCGGTTTTGTTTCCAACTGCATCTTGGGGAATTCGCTCAGCGGTTTGTTGTATGTATTTATATAAGTGACTTTGTTGGTAAGTGCAGCAGCTCGCCACTCCCCCCCCACTTCCCCACTCAGCTATCTACATATGTATGTACATATGTATTTATGTGCACGCGCGCAATAACGGCGCAACAGCTGAGAACGCTGTGTATAGCTTATGCAAATGGATTATGTTGTTGCATTTGCCTCATATTTTGCGATAGCTGGATTTGCATTTTACTCCGCCATTGCTGCTTCGCCACTCACATTCATATTCATGTATGTATATATGTATACATACATACATAAATATGTACACATAGCAAATGCATATTAGTTTTTCTAGTGCGCTTGAGTTTTTTCAATATATAAGTACCTATACATATACATATATTTTTTTATTTCTTTGGCATTTTTATGCGACACGTGTTTATTGTGTGCGCCGCTGCAAATTTCGCTCAATGCCAGCGCAAACAAAACTCTGTTAAATAGTAAATTGCTTTTGTCGCTTTGTTGTTTTTGGGTTTATTCTTTCCCATTTATGCTAGTTCACCCGGGTTTTTACTAGGTTCCATGGTAATATTCATTCTCCAGTCCGATGACAACGCCACTGATTAGCTATTTTAAGCTGCAAAATCTAAAAGCAAAACACCTGGATATTTTTTTTTAAAGACATTTACTAAATTAAATATTATCTTTTCAATGACTCCGTAATCATTCAGTAATGATAAAAAAACTCTACTCTATGCATATACCTATGTATGTATCAGTTATCACTAGGGTTGCCACTGACGAAAAAAATACTTACCAGCCACTTGAAAAAAGTCTACCAAATCTGGAAATTATCTAACAATATAGTTTATAGTTATTTTAATAAAAATTATAGTTTCGTTATATTTTTTAGTTATTTAAATAAAAACAATTGTTTATAAATAATTTTTTTATTTTTTCAATAAGAATTGAAATTGTTTTTAAGGAACTTTTTATTTAACTAATTATATGGTATTTGAGATCATATTATTGGCATATGCTCAGTTTCCTTCAACCAAAAGCGAAAGTGATAAAACTGAAAGCAACAACGACAAAGACAGTGATTCAAAAATGTTGGTGATTTTTTTTTAATATTCACAACGTTTTTCAAGTAAACATGTTTTGTTACTTTAACTAAATCCATAAAAATCAAGGCTTAAAGCTATACACAACATTTACAAAAATTCAAAAAATTTTCATCTAAATTTCGAATTTTTTACTCTGAATTTTTAGAACAATTTAAGGTATGAAGTTTCATAGCAGATAATATTTGAGTATAGCCAAAAATGTGCTGCTAAAAATTCCCGTTGATTTTTTTTTAATTTTCAATTTTTTCTTTTTATTTAAATAATCATTTCAAATATTTAGGCAATCAAAAGTTCCTTGCGATTCCAGTAAAATGAGGTTTGAATGGAGCACGATATGTTCGCCTTATATCTATATACATTTATACGAATGTAAGTATATAAAAAGTGTGCAAAGAAATTTATAATGTAAAGATAACTACGAAAAATAAAGCGGGAACAAAAAGTTCAACAAAAATCTAGCAATTGGCCCAGGATTTTTAATTGGTCTGAAATATCAGAAAGTATCATATATAAAAAATGCTAATTGATCACAAACTAACGGAAGACATATGATTTTGTTGAGTTAACTGTTGTTAACTGATTTTGA